ATGGAAGATAAGTTGCAGATGGGTTCTAACATCACAAACTAGTTTTTGTGAAAAGGGGGTATTGAATATAAGCCCTCGATATATATCGTTACCTGGGTCTTTTTGGGCGCTGACAGCAGCTAAAGTAATTAAGGTTTTTTTCAGAGAATTTTAAGTCAGGATGTCTCGCCATTATGCTTTTAAGGGCTTTTATTAAAATATAGGCGATGCGCCATACAGCCACCCTATTATATATATAAGTATACATACATATCTAGATACATATGTATGTATCATTGGATAGATAAAATTTGCATCCATGTGCGTGATTGCTTGCTTGTATGCACAGCCGGCCATAAGCGAATGTCAACAGCTTTTCAATTTACATGAAATTTCACGCTGAGGCCATTTGTTTTTTTTTTTTTTTTTACTTCATTATGTCTTTTTAATACTTAACTATTTTTTGCATCTTTTTATGGGTTGGTTCTGAAAAATTAACTCATACTTTAACTATTTTGACTTGTATGCCAACGCACATATAAATACATATTATGTATGTGCAGGCATATATGTATATATATAAATGCGGAAAATTGTGACCCTGATCCCGGGATTCACATTGAGACACACATTTTATGAATATAACTAAAATTTCAATAACTGAAAGCATTTAAATATAATTTAAGTACCTCGATGAGGGTACTTAAGCGAACATAAGTATTGAATGTGGTTACATCTTTTCATGTTCCTAGCTACATAAATGGAAGCAGTTATAGCGAAAACNTCTTTGTAATTTTCACTGTAAGTATTTTGTTGATAATGGGTGAAATTATTGCAAAATTTCATGATCCTAGCTGCGCAAATGTGGAAGTTATAACGAAAAATCTCATATCTGAACAATCAGTTGTATGGGCGCTATATGTTGTAGTGGTCCGATTCTTTCGGTTCCGACAAATGATAAATTACCCAATTTTATTCGGATATCTCGAAAACTGAGAGACTAGATTGCATACAAAACGGACAGACAGAAAGACGGACAGTGGCTAAATCGACTCAGCTCGACGTTCTGATCATATATGTATAGATTTTAATGGGCCGTTTTTTTTTTTACTCTGCAACTTACAAACATCGAGCCAAAGTTATAATACATACTCATGAAAGGTATACAAATTATTAAATTATTAAAAATTTTTCTACAAAAAAGGCTCAGGCTGAAATTTTAAAAGTTCAGTTTCAAGCTTTTTGATAATTGCAGGCATTTTACAAAAATCATACTGCAAATTCATAAACAAGTTCTTACTATTAATTCGATATTTAAAATTTTTCGGGAGCCCGGGACTAAAGCAAATAGATCCCGGGATTTTTGGCATCTCTGTTTAATATACACATGCAACGGTATTGGCATTTATTTGCTGGACAACAGCTGTGCCGAGGTATAAGTATGTATGTATAATATATGTATTGTATGCATATGTACACAGCATTCCCCCGGGTGTCGAGTTGACATCTGAGTGGCATGAACGGCAAATGATTTACGATTTTTTACAAGGTGTCATGAGAAATTCTCGCAGCCATTTGCAACGCTTTCAATTAGTCTGCTGGAACCGCATAAGTGTGTATGAAGCATAATAATTCGCAGAATTCGACAAGTATACTTACGCAGCCGGTTGTTAAGCGCACCACAATATGTGGTATTTGTGTTTTTTTCTATAAGCGACCACCTGCATGGTTAGAGGTGTGCGCACTACCTCTCGGTACGACCCTGGTTCGGTACTTGCCCCTGGCAGCATCCCTCGGCGGGGGATGGAAAATCTGCAAGTGTAATTCTGTCATGAAAAGGCTTCTTATAAAAACCACTTGGCGTAGAGAAGCGGTGAAAACCAAAAATTTGAGGAGAAGTTCGGCCAATCACTTTGTAAAAGTGTAAAGCTCCAATGTTGTTTTTTTTTGTACGATATCATACGTAAATTTATATAATTTGTGTGCCTTTGTATGTTCAATGTGTATATGTATAAACACGTTTACTTTGTAAGCGCGAATTTTTTCAAGAGACCACTCTTACTACCATGATAACTTAATTTTTTCTGATGCCTTTTATTTGGTTTTCATTCTTATCGATGGAAACGGCATGTGGTGCAGAATTGGTTCTTTGTTATTTTCGTTTGTAATAAAGCTGCCTAAAGCATTTCGTGCATTCTTTTTTAATTTACATAATTTTTCAACTCATTGCCTGTGAGAGCTCATAAAGGAAAATTAAATATGAAAATATTTATTCACAACAAGGGGCCAAATATGTATACATATGTATATGTATGACGAACAGAACAAAACGCTGGTAAAAACGCGCTAATTAACCCTTTCCGTGCATTTGTACAATATATTGAACATTTAATTTTTTGTAACATTGCGAGCCTGCTACTAATTGCTGCTTATTAATATTTTTGAAAACAAATTAAGCTTTATGAAGTTTGGGAATGTACCGAGTGGTTTACGTAAATTTCAAAATCAAAAACGTTTCAAAAATATTTTTAGAATTTAATTTAAAAATTAAAAATAGACCATTTTGTGAAATTCAAGAGACACGCAAGTGTAGTAAAATCACTAAAAAAGCACATGGCATGGAAATACAAAAAGCATTTCAACATATAAATATGCTTAAATTAATAATTTTAAATATTTTTTTCCGAGTGTAAAAAAATGTATAATATACTGTACATTTACACTGGGAGGACATAAATAAGTTAATTCTACATTATGTGGTTTTTGCCGTGGGTTTTCAAGAGTTTGTCTGCAGTTGTTGCAGGAAAGAGAGAGAGATCTACAGAAATCCGGGAAGGTTTATTAAAATAGTTCATTTTGCATTTTATATTGTAATTTTATCTGCAGTTTTTAAAAGTTCCTTCAAATCATTCTCTTCTCATGGAGAAAATTTAAAAATATAAAATATCCATTCCAACATATCTGAAGTAAAATCAATTATTTTCAATCATATAAGCTTTTATTCCGTCAAACTTAGCGAACTATTTATTGAGTTTTCTTGAGTACTTTTACTCCTTTGCGTGCCATCGTTCAATATATTGCACTCATTTGAAGTAGCCCTAATACCTTCCCAATACAATTTTTGAATATTCTTTTTTTTTGCTTTTGGTTTATGAGGCTAGGCGAATTTGCATCACAGGAGCGGCTGTTACCTCTGATGTTTGAATGCTGTGCTTCATCTAGGAGCTATTGCAGGATTGCCAATGATGTTGCTGCTAGTCACAGAGATAGCGGTAAAGTGTTTTGAGATTTTCCTAGTTTCTAGCTCCTGCCAGGGAGGCACGATAATAGATATCACGCCGCAAGATTGCTTCATTCTGCCGTAGTGAGTGGCATCATTTTGACCACCGGCGTTGACGGCAGGGATTTTACCTTTGCCAAGGAAACACAATGCCGTCGAACGGCGAACTCACCATAGCAAAATTCGAGCTGTCAAAATAAGAACAACCGAAAGCATATGAAAATGAACACAATCAAAGCGAAATACGAAGTTCGCTCGGCGTCGTTTCGTGGCGATAGATTTATTTCGCTCTGCTGGGCGATGACGGCAGTACATGCCAAAAGTGGTCGTACGTTTTTTTCTGCTTTCAAAGTTTTAGAAGAAAACAACATATAACACGAATTATTTTTGTTCTGGCTTAAAATAAAATAGTTTGTAATAATTTCCGTTTGCTTTATATTTATATTTGTTATCGTTTCCTCGGTTCTTAATATGGTTTCCCGTTTTCTGAATATGCTAACCCAAATTATAAATGCGATGAAATGGTATCGCTACCGCTCTAATTCTAATTCAATTCAATTCAATTCAATTCAATTCAAATCTAAAAAATCTTACAGACTAGATTACAAAAAAACACCTTAGAATTTTATAATAACATACAACAACAGCAGAAACATGTTACATAGTACACTTACTCATATAGGAGCAAATTTAATCAAAATAACTAATTAAATATAACCCTATTAAGTAAAAATTTGTACATACTTTGTGTATAAGTCTAGGAGTAAATAGATTTGAAATAAGTCCGAATCGAAAAACTCCTCATTAAAGAAATTATTATTTAGCCAGGTTTCAACGAAAACGTAGACATCAAATTCCGCTCGAGACGTTTGCAAATAAATTTCCTTTGCTTTAGTACGCATTCCAGACATGTTTTGGAAATAAAGTTTAAGGCCAGTGCTTTTTTGCACGTCTAAGGCTGCTTGCTTCTATTTAAGTAGGCCGAATAGCAGGCCGAACGGTGAACGACGGCATTGTGTTTCATCTAACTATTAGTGTTAACTATAGTTGACGAATTTCGGGCATTATTTGAGCATATTTGCTGATATCGTGACACGCGCTTTGGTAATTTCCAACACTGTAAACTAACCCTGGTATTCAGTAAGTCAATCTCATCACAAGTCACTAAATTTTAGACTAGCGACTAGTGACTCTTTGTGTGCCTTCAGATGATTCGGGTATTCAGTAAGAGAGGGTGGTGAAACAAACACAGGGAGTATACTGATAGGCATTAGCGCACACAAGGGGTCGGTTTTGGGGTTCAAAGCTAATAACCTCAAATACAATCTGTATCTTAAAGCAAAGAATCCAGCTCTCAAGGAAATTATAAGAAATATTTATTATAATTTCTGTTGCTTGAAAAAGCGCTTTGCTTTTGCTGTAAATTTTCATGAGGGAATAAATATACGAGCATTTTTTTTCATGAGAGCTGCAAACTGAGAGTTCAGTTAATTTTTTCGGTATTTGAAATATTAAAAAAAATTTAGTAATCGTGAAAAATCACCACCTCTATCGAAAACCAGAAATCGGAAAAATAAACATAGAAGTGCAAAAATTCATGGAATCAATAAATTTATATTTACTGACTCTTTTTTTTAATTTTGACGTAGAATACGTCTTACCTTAAGGTATGGGGGCTATGTATTTTTTATTAGGTACTTTTGAAAGTTGAGCGCATCTTGAGTTTATAGAACTTTTTATTAAACAAGAAGTTTTTAAGGAAAAACACAACCGACTTCAATTCTCATATCCAAATTTAGGGGTACCGTTAGCTTCTTCATGATCCAATCATCGGATCTCTAAAACAAATTACGGGGCGAACCTTGAGGTACTATCTTTCTAATAAAAAAAGGATTATTGAAAACGGTTCACGTGGTCCAAAGTTATGTATTCCGGCGAGATAATAACCTCCCTTTTTTTGAAGTCGGTTAAAAGCGTTTGAGTTCTGTTAATCTGTAAATAAAGAGCAGTTTATGAATTTTAAAACGTTTATTTATTTATTACATACTGTACATAAAACTTGCATAAATGTATTTTAAAGAGGATATTATCTGAAGCAAATTTTCAGTATTTTCCGGTGATATATCTTCAGAAATATAAAACCCCCCCTAAAATATATTCCTGGGTGCGCCCCTGCTGATAGCGCTAAGGTTGCAGAAAGAGTGGAAGCGAAGCTGAAGATGAAGATGAAGATGAAGACGAGGCCAAAAACGAAAAATAGTGCAGTAGTAAACATATGAAAGTGATCAGAGTGTAAGCGAAGACGAAAACGACGATGAAGACGTTACGCAAGCTGTCAGTTTGAAACTTTGCGGCACTGTTTTCAACGACGAATCGATTTCTGTGAAGAGTTGTGAAGAATTGTGAAAAAGCGCGTTTTTCAAGAAATGGCTAAATTTTTGATAAAATGCAATCAAACGCATTAATTAGCATTCTTTTATATTCTAAAAATGTGCGTCCGTCCTGCTCTAATAAATAAAAGTGGCGAAATTCTCCACAAGTTTTCCTACAAAAATTTATTTCATCAATTGCTGTTTTTTAACCGACTTCACAAAAAGGAGAAAGGTTATCAATTCGTCGGTTTTTTTAATTTGTTTTAATGTATGTTACCGCACAACTTTGGTACACGTTAACCGATTTCTATAATTATTTTGTTTTAAGGAAAGGTGTTACCTCAAAAATCGGTTTGGTTTTTGCTTAAAAATTACTTGTTCTCCACTTTCTTTTAATTTTATCTGTAAAAAAGCTTTTATTTAGAAATAAATCTTAATATCATTCATTTCCCACTATGTATCCTCGCCAGCTTGGCCGCAACGTAAGCAATTCGTCTCCGTCTTCATCTTTGGCTTCGCTTCCACTCTTGTCTGCAACCTAACAGTCGCAATAGCCGAGTGAACAAAGCACTAGAGTGTCACTCAAGACATCCGAGTTCGAGTCCTCCTCGGGCAGCATTTTTTTTTGGGCTACTTCATTTTTTCTTTGTTTTTTGGTTAATTTTCTTTTTTTACATAATCTTTAAATTTTAGTATTTTGAAAACAAAAAAAAAAAAAAATATGTTTTCCAATGAGTTTTTATGATATTGAATTATTTTGGTTTATTTTTTGGTTTCCTAATGAAATGGTTGTGGAATAAATGTTTCTTCGCTTCATCTTCGTGTTTTTTTTAAATAAAATAGAAATCTTTTTCTCCATATTTTTCTTTTTGTGGCCTGCTGAGAGCTAGCTGACAAATTAGAGACTTTTTTTTGAGATTAAAGACGTGAGACAGCTTACTGAATACTAAATAGTATCAAAATCGATGTTCACCACGAAGTCACTATTAGTGACTAGAGACTGCTTACTGAATATGAGGGTAAATACATACACATTTACAACTCTGTTAAATTTGTTCAGCTACTATGATAAGCGGACCTACTTATGTGTGTATGTATATTGGTTAATCCCACCTAAAACCTTTAAATAGTTAGCGTTAAACTCAACAAGAGAAATAAAGATCTTTCTTAATTTCTAATTTGTACAAACATATGTACATACGGACATACATATATATATATTTAGCTGGAAATCTGGTTAGTACGCACGTTTTGCGAGAACAGGAAAGGAAAAACTGTCATCATTGTCTAAAGAAAAAACTGCAACAATCAATTGTTGAAGCGTGCTCATGTAGTATGTTGCATAAATGGCCAGTGAACATGTACACATTTGTACATAAACGTATACGTATGTATGTATATATGTCTGCATTCTAGGTTGCCCTACATGTTAATTAAGTTGTACGCATTTATGTGCTGTCCTCGCCAGCGGAAAGTGCACGCGAAATCCAGATTCTGCTGTAGTTCTATAAAATAATTAAACAGTATTCAACTTTCATGCACATCAATGGAAACATGCTTTGACTTTGTTATCAACAACCACACTATAATGTATGGATATGGCCACATTCAGCAGATGGTCGAAGAGCGAAGTTCGCACATGGACAACAAGCGTTGCCAATGTGACACGCGCAAATGTCAACCGGAACTTTTGCTAGGTATAGATGGCTGATATGGAGCAGGATGTTGCACCGGGCGCCTTGTCTTTGCTATTATATTACACATGAAGAGAAGGTTAACAAGTAAGTTTTAAGAAAAAAAAAAAAAAAAACAAAACCGCTTCAATTCTCATATAAAAATTTATGAGTACCGTTAATTTTTCCATTATCCAATGATCGAATCTAAACCAGGTTAGTATGGGACCAGTGGGTAGTGGGACACTACCTTTCCAATGCAAAACGAATTATCGAAATCAGTTGACGTGGTCCAAAGTTATGCGGTAACATACATACCAAAAAAAAAAAAATATTCCGACGAATTAATAACCTCCTCTTTTTTTGAAGTCGGTTAAAAATAGAGGAAAATATTTTGTAAGTAAAATGCTTTTGAGGCAATTAGTGTTAGTTTGCGTGGGGCTAGTGCGTCCCGTCTCGTTGTGGTGCGAAGTATGCTTGTATGTATGTATGTAAGTGAAAGTGTATTTTGTATGTATTTTTGACACTAAATATCCAAACATATTTTCTAATGAAATTGTTTAGACTAATTTAATTTCAACTATAGGACAACAGATAGAAATTTACAGGTTTCATGACATTCACCCGTGAAACAGCTACCTGACGTTTGTGAAAGAGGAATTGTAAAATATAATAGTGTATGGTGGGATACCATTAATTAATTAAAAAGTGAAAATCGTTTTTTTAAGCATATTATTCTCAAATAAATCAATTATAATATAAGTATTTCTGTTGCATAAACTGAGAATGGAATGAGTGACTGGAGAATCCGCATGAATTCTTTGCCCAAAATTTGATTAAAGCTTCAACGAGCAAGCCAACACAAATTGCACAGGTCTACAAATAAATGATAACTCAGAGGAACGCAAAGGTCGTTCGTTCAAAATATATGTATATTTTACGTAAATATTAAAAATACTTGGAAAATCAAAAATCTGTGCTAATAATAAGTACTCTATGGCTGATAAATATTAGTCTTATGATTATGTGACTAATTTTTTTACCTGTTTTTAGTATAATTCTGATGAGGGTGCAGTATTAGCACCGAAAGCTAAATAAATGAATTGACATAATACTTTTCAATTGGCTCGTAGATATCGTCTTTGGTTTTCATCTTCAAATTGAAAAAAAAATCCGAGCGTTAAATATTCCTTTAATTATTGTTTTTATATTTTTCAAATATATCGACAACCCCGCCGACTCATCGAAAAACTTAAGACCCGTTAGTATTTAACTCGATAACCATTCATAAATTTTGACAACCAATTTTCTGTGTCTGCAAGATTTTGAAAAAACTCACTAAACAACGTTGCGATAACTCAATGACATGCAGAACTTTGTAAATTTCGATAACTGTATACTTCGATGATTTAACAAATTTCGGTAACTTGATAACTTTCGATAACTAAATTTTGCATGACTGAATTTAATTCGATTCCGATCGAAAAATTTCGATACATTTTATAACCGTTACGTGACCCTAATTCTTATGTATTTCTTATTGTCTCCATTTTGGAATTTATCTTCACTGCATACAATTAAAAATGCATTTTTTTGTACTCGAAGACTTCCTTTATTTTTTTAAGCAAAAATAAATCAACAAAAACTAATATTGATGAAAATCGGTGGATAAATAAACCACTTTTGAATGGTCAAATGAAAATGTGTAACAATAGTTGCGTTACCTAACTCGCAAGAAGTTCCAATAATTAACAGAAAGCATTCCCGTACTCGGTTCTCTGTCAAACTATCATCTGTTCATCGAATTGAAAGTTTAATAAGCAAAAAAAAAGCGCATCTGCATTTTTACTTTATAAGATGTATCGTAGCTAAAAAATATCCAGTTTTGTAAGTATTTTTGTTAATTTGCTTTTGTATTTACCTACAATTTAGCAGATCGCCAAATGACAAAAAAAAATTGCTATGTAAAAAAAAAACGCGTCCACGGTGTATTTGACAGATTTACCCTAAAAGCGTGAGAGCAATTTTGCTTTTTGGCAGTTTTATAGG